GATTTTGGAAAAGTCTACAAGAGGAATTGGGTACCAAGTTGTGTTTAAGTACAGCTTACCATCCGCAGACTGATGGTCAGAGCGAACGGACGATACAAACACTTGAAGATATGTTGAGAGCGTGTACCTTGGAATTCCTAGGTAATTGGGATGAACATTTACCTTTGGTAGAATTTTCCTATAATAATAGTTTTCACTCGAGCATAAAGATGGCACCTTATCAAGCCCTGTATGGACAGAAGTGTCGTACGCCGTCTTGTTGGCTTGAGGCTGGGGAAAAGCAGTTTATGGGGCCGGAGATAGTCCATCAAACTGCTGAAAAGTTGAAAATAATTAGGGAGAGAATGTTAGCAGCTCAGGATCGTCAAAAGAGTTATGCTGACAAAAAGCGAAGACCGATGACTTTTGAAGTTGGAGATTCGGTTTTGCTTAAAGTCTCGCCGTGGAAGGGACTTATAAGATTTGGAAAAAGGGGAAAGTTAAGTCCAAGGTTTATTGGACCGTTTAAAGTTCTTCAGAGGATTGGGAACCAAGCTTACAAGCTCGAACTACCAGAAGAACTGAATGGAATTCATAACACTTTCCATGTATGTTATTTGAGGAAGTTCACGGGAGAAGTTCCCGACATAATTCCACTTTCAGAGTTGAGGATCGATGAGAACAAAAGGTTGATTGAGGAACCGGAGGCAATTGTTGACCGAAAGACTAAGAAATTGCGACGTGAGATGGTGGAGTTAGTGCTTGTCCGATGGAAACACACGAATGGGCCAAATCTCACCTGGGAGACGGAGAGTGACATGATGAGTCGCTATCCACATTTGTTTGCTGGTGTGTGATTCCGGGGACGGAATCATTCTAAGGTGGAGAGAATTGTAACGCCCGTGTTTCTAGGCTTGCCATTTTTAGCAATGTAATAGTCTAGGTTAACCTTGTAACTCAACTTGAAATAATAAGAATGTATTATTTGTGAATTATTTGAATTATGTGATTTATGTGTGTATTTTCTTAATTTTTATAATTTAATAAATTAAGAATAAAATAAGCGTCAAAATTTAAGTGTGAGATAAGCCCGACATCTTTGCATAAAGTTGTAGTGGTCGAAACAAGGATTCCGGAGATATAAGGAATGCCAAAATCCGAGTTATAACGAAGAAGTTATGACATGTCGAAGTTTCGCGACAGAACCGACACGACGCCGAGTGACGTAAAATATGAATTTAAGATAGAGCGATATTTAGCCTTAGCGATCTAAACGAAAGTCGTAGATTTCGTTAAACCGAGAGCGTGCATAAAAGGAACGCCCAAATCTGACTTCGTATGAGGAAGTTATGATTTTATGAAGTTTCGACTTAGCAGTATACAGCCCGAATACTCGATTTGAGATCGAGCGGTTTTTAGCCGAAACAATCTAAATGAGAATCGAAGATCTTGTTGTTAGTAGCGAAGCAATGAAAAGTTAGGCGAGAACGGACGTCGGACGAAGAAGTTATGATTTTATAACGAAGTTTTCCTGTCCGAGCCTTCTAAAAATAAATAATAAAAATAAAAGTCAAAATTAGCCGACGGAGTCTAAATGAAAGTTGTAGAGTATGGTCTGACCTTCGCGTGGATATAAAGAACGTCGAAATCAGAGTTCGTATGAAGGAGATATGAGTTTCTGAAGTTTAATAAAATATTTAATATTTATTTTTATTTTACTCCGATATTACCCGAAGAGAGGAGAGGCGGTCTATCCGAAGTACGCAGCGCGTACTGCTGTACGCCCCGCGTACAGCATAGGGCACTCGAGTTCTACGGAGTAGCGAGTCGTATGCAATGACGGAGATGGACCGATGACGTAAGCGCTGACGACCACCGAGGCGTACGCCCCGCGTAGCCTCGTACGCCCCGCGTACGTGCGAGGGTTCAGCACCTATAAAAGGAGACCCGAATGCAGCCGAGTTTCCTTTGCAAATTTCATCATTCTCTCTGGTCCTTTGCCTCGTTTTGCGTGCCGTTTGTACCCCGAAGCCCCGATAATATTCCCGAGCCCCGAAGCGAGATCCGAAGCCCCGAGAATCCCGAAGAGCGTTATTCCCGAGCCGAAGCCCTGCCCGCGAAGAGCCCGGTTTTGTGAAGATCTTCCAGATCTACGGAGAAACACCTCTTCTGCAAGCCGTAGTGCTGCCCGATCATCTTTTGATCAAGTGAGTGTGTAGTTATTTTCATTCCAACGCAATATTATGAAGTATTTCCTATAAAATACGTGTTATGTGTATATATTTGGTTGTTATACGTGTGAGTGTATATTCACTCTCTTCTATCTTATAGATATGATGTATTCTCTATGAAATACGTGTTATGTGTGTATGCCTCATCTGTTATGTGGAATATGTATTGCTTAAAGCATGTTATACAGGTTTTTAAACTATGTATAAAAACGTATATTTTTATCTACTAATATGTTGGGTAGAACATGGGTGGATAATTGGTGTGTAATAAACAGATGAGAGGCCTCGGTGTTATTGGTGTTATTCTAGTCATTCAGCAGAGTATGGATGACGACCACGGACTATTCTAGACTGTCCTGTGGAACACTAGCAGGCTCATTACCTGTAGGTGTTGTGAACGACGTGTTCACCGGTGTACTCTATCCCCCACATGGTTGCCTTTAGGACACTTATTGTTGAGGAAGCCCCTCTGCAGTGATGTCCGTCCCAATGAAAAATCCTGAAATAAGTTCCTTATAATAGACGTTATTTTTAGGAACGTAAGGTGAGGATAACGGGAATGGGTAATCGGGTTTATTGTTGATTGCTGAAATTAAATATAATTATTGTGGGTTGAAAACCCTATATGCTCACCAGGCTCCCAAGCCTGACCCACTCAGTTGATTTATTTTACAGGAAGTGGCGCAAGAGTTTAAGATGGGCGAACATCAAGTTGTTTTGTTTACAAGTCTGTATATGTATATATTTGTTGAATGACTTGTAATGCTATCGTTTATGCTTTATGATCTGTATCGGAACATGACATCCCGACTTTTGATTATGAAATGAAATTATATTTCTTTATGAAATGTTTTGATAAATATCTATTTTATCATGTTTTGTTTTTGGGAACAAATTCCGCATCTCTTTTAAAATTAAAAGGATTTACTCTGAAAATTATTTTAAAAAGCATAAATGAAATCGATCTTTTTTGGCCGAGATTTTGGGGATGTCACATGAGTCTTGATGGGCTAGGGGTAAAATGATCATTTTACCCTAAGTTTGGATTTCAGTTGCTAACTGGATGTTGTTTGGGTATTGCTAGTTTGGGAAGTTATCAGGTCAATAACTAGGGTTTCGTGCAGTGAGCTTCAACATTCGAGGTGAGTCTCATCACTGTTCGTATAGGTCAAAGACATCAATGTCGGTCCATTTGGTTTATGTATTGTATGAAGACCCGGGGGTTAGCCCTTGGCCTACTGTATGAAATACCAGGAGGCGGCTCCTGACATACTGTATGAAAGACCCGAGTCTGAACTCTATAATTATTAGTTAAGTAGTTGTAGACTGTACGCTAGTTGTCTTTGTGATGCTTGCATGGAAGACCCGGAGGTGGCTCTTTGCACTTGTCTGTAAAACTTAGGGTTGTGGCCCTCGGCCTGGCAAGAAAGACCATGAGGTGGCTCGTGGCATAACAAGACTATGGGTGACACATAACACATTTATTGATTATGATATATGAATGATATGTATGGCTCGCAGTTATGTATGACATGTATGGTATGTGAGATTTGAGGAACTTACTAATGAAAGAGCTCGGAATGATTGCAACACATACACCCGTGTTTCCGCAATATGTGATCTTCGGTATTGGACTCTAATATTTATTTTATTTGAAATGCTTTTCAATGTCTTGAACAAAGTTATTAAAGTGTTTTAATTATATTAAAAAAATAAATTTTTTTACCTTGAATTTTTGGGTTGTTACAAATGAGCATCTTGATCTTAGTGTACTACTTTCCTACAAATCCATCCAAATATCAGCGTTTTGCTTATTTCACAAAATTGAGAAAAACAGTTTTGTAACAATCCTTCTTTAGAGTGTCGAATGATTTCAAATGATGAACAAATTCCCAAACATTCGATTAACAAACATTCATCATGTAATCTCGCAGAAGCAATTTATCAAATTTTCGGATATAAACACATAAACACACGACAAATATACTAAACTTAGGTCATAACTGATTCACAACCTTGAAAAGCAAAAGATGAGGCTGAACTTACAATCTCGACCACCACACACGCCACCTCTATAAGGATGATACATAGTTGCTATAAACTTCAAATTGCAGGAGAAGATCGAAGAAATCTTGCAATTTAAGTTTAATAGAAAGAAGGGTATGATTCAGCAGTGGAGAATGATTATCCATAATCCCTACCAGGGTTTCGTTCAATTAAGTTTGTATTCCTTTATAATATCAAAACCTAAAGCTTCGTGAAATGGTTCTTTAGTTGATTCATGGAAAATATGGAATATTTCAAACTGAAACAAAGCTACAATCAAATGAAAGAAAATATAAACATACAAAACCCAAATTTGAAGATAAAGATGAACATAAACCCATTCGAATGACCATCAGAAACAAATCGATGGATAATTTGAAACCTAGATGATGAACATAAATCAATTCAATGGAAAAACTGTGTATGTAAACTATAGCAGAGAATCCAATTGAAAAAAAAACTTATAATCATGAAATAGCTTCAAGTATTTTTTTTTTTTAGATTGAGTCATCGAAATACCTGTAAAACCTGCAAACCAGTGAAGTTAAAGAACAAAGTGTGTAAACATAGTTTATAGGAATTGATTTGAAGATGATTTCGTTTTAGAACCCTAACTTCCTCCAAAACCGTTGATTTGGAATTGCTTGTGAGATTTGGGTGTTTCAAATTTGAATTAATATCTGGTTTCCAAAAAAAAAAAAAAAAAAAAAAAAAAAAAACTTAGAATAAGCAGATAGGAGTTGAATGGGCAAAATAGGTACTTCACTTTGTAAAAAAGAGGAGCTTAGAAGATGCCTAGTGGACAAAAAGTCTTTTACTAGATAGGGATAATATATGTCATGTGCCTTTGAGAAACTTCTTGCTAACTAGTCAGTTCCTAAATACCTGATTTTACTTCTCACAAAATGAGCTTGTGACAATCCGTCGTGAGCCGATTTAGGTTGCCTTTTTGGGGTTTGGTACAATACTTTAATATCAAGATTCTAAATGGCGTGAATCATGTCATGGCGGCAAAACCAAGTCTCAAGTTTAACGAGCCATGACGAGCTATAACGTTTTTCAAAGTGTGATGTAAGGCGACAATTTTGTATTAATTTATAATTATATTACCACATAAATATAAATTTATATTAATAAGGTGTTTGGGAAAACTTTTTAAGGCTAAAAGTTCCTTTTGAAAAAGGACTTTTTGTTTAGTGACTTTTTCTAAAAGAAAATATTTAAAAAGTATTTGTATTTGTTTTTGGCATAAAAGTTAACTTTTCGGGTTAAAAGTCTCAAATCATAAAAAGATTGGATTTGTGATTTTTGAAACATTCTCTTTTTCTTCACTACAAAAAGTCATTTTTAAAATATCTTTTTCTGTTTTTCAATAGCCAAACATCTTTTGGATATTTTTCAAGTTTTTGGAAAAGTTAAAAGCCAAAAGATGTTTTAAAAGCAATGCCAAATACCCTCTAAGTATAACTACTTTTTAGAAGTGTTATATCAATAACTAATAACAAAAAGTTAACAAAAAACACAATAATTGTATCCCCGATTAGAAAAGACATAACAAAGAGCAAAAAAAACGTATCTAAAACAAAAAAAACGCACGTCATAACGCGCCTTGGCACGCCAATCACATCTTGCCACATATCACACTTAACAACAACGTTATAAAACTTTTCGTAACGGTGATGGCATGTCTCACACCATGACACGCCTTGACGCGCACCATGACGTGCCTTTAAGAACAGAACATTGTTTAATATTATATACAAACTTAACCTCACATATCATCTTATGAGATTTCATTTAATGTACACAAGATCTAGCAACATCAATACTTGCTAAAACTCAAACATGCATACCCATGGAATCATAATTTTACCAAATGTGTAACTATAATTCCATTCATCGAATATGCTTTAATAAATCGACATTTTTTGTTTTTATATATCAATTTAATTCAGTTAATTGTATATTTATATAGATATTTGACACGTTGGATACTCTTATTGATTTTATAAATCAGCAAAATATGATAACACTATGTAACGTAACAACTCATTTTCAATAACATGTAACGATGTTATTTATAGATATCAAACAATATTTGTAAAGTGAACCTTCCATCGAATCAAAGACGTCCACGTGCGAAGTGCATCATAGCTTCAAGAGATTTCATTCCACCTGAACATTCCTCGTAAAATATATAAATTAAATATAAATTCTGGTTGATAGAAAATTTCCCGTCGTTCGAGTTTTCGGTTATAGCACCACCGTTTGGAAGAGTTCGTTGGATCTGTGATACCGGCGAATCGACGTATCTCGCCGGATCTCTAGGTTCGGCGTCGATGGTGTTCCATGGCGTAGGTCTCCGCCGTGCTCTGGAGCTAGCATTCTGTATCGCTGGTATTTGGTCGGCTTATATATATCAAGGCGTTCTTCAAGAGACCGTGTAAGCGTTAGTTTTTTGCTATCGATCTCTTAAATTCCTTTTGTTGATTTCATGTATTATGTTATTCATCTAATTGTTTCGTACTTTTAGCATTTAGTGATTTTTGAGTTTCTAACTTGTAATAATGGAATTTCTGATGAATGATGTTTAATTTCCATGAACTCGTCGAAGAAGAAATTGAAAGTAACGCATACAAGAAGTTTTAACTTACTATCTATCAACATTGACGATAAATTTAGGTTAGCTCTGTTACTATTTTCCAATTAAAGTATAACATGAACATTACGTCAAAATGATGTCGATTTTAAGATCCATTGGAAGTTTTTTTGCAATCTACCTTCTCACATCAAACACATAGGGTGATCATTACGTCAAAATGTAAGGTTCTATTAAGTTATGAGAATTGCAGAGTTTGGGTTTTTTTCAGGGGATGAACTCCACTAGATATTTTTGTTATTTGTAAAGCAGAAAGCGACTATGACTTTTGGATACAAAGTCTAATTTGGAATCATGGATCCAAGAACCCTATAGGCTTTTAGAGATGAAAGTCGTTGATAATGATGATTTTCTGTTCTCTTCTTGTTTGGATATTTCTTCTTCAAACATATAGTGTTTTTTTCTTTATGCAACTTCAAAGGAAATTGAACAACCAATTGAAAGAATTAGCAATCCTAATCTAAGCAAATTTCTCAGCCATGTAATGTGTACTAATCTTCCTTTCTATGTTAATGTGATCGTGTGCAAGTGTGGTCATGATTCATTAATCCTACCAATAACAAACTTGTTTCTATTTCCCTTTTTAGAGTAAAACATGTTTACTACAATTCTTTGAAAACTTGGTAGATGTTTTTACTTTTTATCATCTTTTGCTTAAAACTTAGTTGTTGAATTTCCAGGTCTACTAAGAGATTTGGCCTTGAGAAGGAGAGGTTTGAACATTTGGCATTCTTAAACCTGGCACAAAGTGCTGTTTGTCTACAATGGTCCTTCGTTAGTGAGTCTTTCTTATGTTTCTTCATTTTCATTTCTTCTCATGATCTTAAATCCAAATCTCTATACTATTAAATATTAATACTAACAATTTCTGTTCATTGCATTAGTGATAAAGCTTTGGGGCAAGGGTAAAGGTGTTCGTGCTCCATGGTGGAGTTATTGGAGTGCTGGAATTACAAACACAATTGGCCCTGCAATGGGGATTGAAGCTCTAAAATACATCAGTTATCCTGCTCAGGTATTTAAACAGTATAAAATCAAAAGTGATTTTGTAACAAATGTATTTATTTTTCTTCACAATCTTAATCCTTTTTTCCTTATATCACTTACAGGTCCTTGCAAAATCTTCCAAAATGATTCCAGGTGTGTCATATGTTTTTCTTCATATCACTTATAAAACCTAGCTTCATCATACCATATTTACAAAATATATATATATATATATATATATATATATATATATATATATATATATATATATATAATAATCAATCTTAATCTTTTGCACAGTGATGTTGATGGGATCCCTCGTTTATGGTATTCGATACACTTTTCAGGAGTATCTTTGCAGCCTCCTTGTTGCTGGTGGTGTGTCAATCTTTGCATTGGCAAAGGTGAATTTATCATCATTCTACTCAATTTTGCTTATAAAAATTCACAACTAATTAATTTCAATGACTTTATTTTACCCAGACTAGCTCAAAAACCATAAATAAACTTGCTAATCCAAATGCTCCACTTGGATATGGACTTTGCTTTCTCAACTTGGTGTTTGATGGTTTCACAAATGCGACACAAGATTCAATTTCCGCAAGGTACTTTATTTAAAAAAAAATTATAATATTGTTTTCCTAATATATCATGTATGTAACAAGATTAGGTTTTTGTGATAATTAAATTAAAATATTAAGTGAAATAAATATAGTTGCTAATTTTAGGTAGGGTTGAGTTCCAGTTCAATGCATGTGAAACACAGTATTTTGTAGGTACCCAAAAACAAATGCATGGGACATGATGTTAGGAATGAACTTATGGGGAACAGTATACAACACGGTTTTCATGTTTGGTTGGCCTGAAGCGAGTGGATATGAAGCGGTTCAATTTTGCAAACACAACCCTGAAGCAGCGTGGGATATTTTATACTACTGCTTATGTGGCGCGATTGGTCAAAATTTTATATTTTTTACGATTAGTCGTTTTGGTTCGTTAACTAACACCACTATTACCACAACTCGCAAATTTGTGAGTATTGTGGTTTCGTCTGTGCTTAGTGGCAACCCTTTATCTCGAAAGCAATGGGGGAGTGTTGCTATGGTTTTTACTGGATTATCCTTTCAGATTTACCTCAAAAAGAAGAGACCCAAGAGAATGAAGAAAAAGAAGAAGAATGTTTGATGAAAATTCGGTCTAAACCACATTTTTTAGGTAAATCTTTTTTTTTTTTTCATTAGTTCATTGTTTAGTTCGAATACATAATCCATAAAAATTAATTTTTTTTAGATTAGAATTTTCTTGAGTGTTACCATAGAGAAAAAGTTGTACTTATTTCACATAATTCTTTTTTCTCAAGTTATGTCAAGTATTTTCTCTCTTTTTTAATAGTCAAGTAGTTTAAGCTTTTGCTAGCTTGCTAAGTTGATATTTTAGCTAATTAGATGTGTTAAGTATGTGAAGCATGTATGTTGTAGTTATGCTCCAGTGAAGGAAGGTGACATCTGACAAAATGTCTTATTATTGCCAACTTAGAATTTATAGTAAATTGCAAATTTGGTCCTAATGCTTTACCAAAAATCTCAAGTTCAGTCCAAATTCTAAATCTGTACTCTCAATGTGAGCCTTGACTCTTAAAATGACTTCATCTTTTGGACTAAACTTGTGCTTTTAAAGCACGGTGACAATATCCAGAATGAAACACAATTGAGACAATTTTAAAATTTGGACTAAATTTGCAACTTTTAAGTAAATTATAGTGACCGAATTTGTAATTTACTATAGAAATTATTTGTAGGTATCAGTACCCCCAACTTATTTATTAAAAAAAAAAAAAAAAGGTCTATTTCAGGTTATAGTTTAGAAACCGACAAAAACAAAACTGGCCTAAAATGTCAAAAGTCATTGGAAGTTCTATTTAAAATGGAAATTTCATATATATCTTTTTTAAACATTAAAATATCATGTTTATTCAAAATTAATTTTTAAATATTATATTTATCTTTCATAAAATTTTTAAATATCATATTTATCATTTATAAATATCAAAATATCATATTAATTACCTGTAAATTAAAAAAATAAACAACTCGTACCTAATAAGATTTGTTTTGTTTAAATGCTTACTACCCAACAACCAATCATTGATTTATATGCATTAATGCATATATGCGATTTAATATTGGAGAAAAAGGAAAAAAGGTGGATGAAATGGGGCCTCCATAGAAACATGCTTTTAAAATTTGTACAGTTTTCCCTCTCTTCTCTCATCACTTCCACCATACCTTTTCTTTAAGAAATCATTTTCCCAAACCAACAGCCCCTATACCAACTTGTACCCCATGCATTAAGAGTTGTACACATTTCTCAATCCACAAACTTCCACCCTGGAAAAGAGACCAAACCTTCTTTTTGCTCATCATTATCAGCAGAGCTGACCAACTTAAATACACCAACAGATCGGCACACTACAATCCCCACCTTCCCCACAACCCAAATCCACCATTTTTAACCAAATTTACACACTGACACACAGCATCAATCTTTCATCGTCTGCAAGTAAGTTTCTATATCCCTTTTTTTAACTACATTGTCTTCTTTGCATTCAATTCTTTCATCACAATTTTATGTAATAACTTAAGAAACTTTGAAGGCAAAAAAAAAAAAAAGGAATAAGCTTCTGCACACAAGAATCACATCCGCTAAAAACCAATCATTGTAGGTTTAATACATTACAATATCAAAAAATAAAAAAAAAACTTATACCATAACCTCTATTCTACACACACACACTAAAAATGGAGTTCAACTGGGATGGTTGAGCCTCCTCCTCACTCGCTCACTCACTTCTATGCTTCTAAAACCTCCCCCTTTTCCATTTAGGGGGTAATATTGTAAATATCAGCAACTCGCCGATGTATAATTACACTCTGTAAGAAAAAAAATATATATGTTCTGTGCATGATTTTGGCGTATTTTGAGGCCAAATAATTATGAGGGGGAATACTAGCCATATTCGAAACCCTCCAAAAATGAAAAAACAAAAACAATGCATGTCAACTAGTAAAATGTAAATCCTTGATCTACTTGTGGTTGTGGTTGTTCTGGAATGTACCGGAACATTCCAGATTTTGATGCAGATCTTGATGTTGATCAAACCTTTTTGTTTAAAAAATCAGGCTGATATGATATGAGATGCAAAATCCTATGAAAAAACTCTACATTACATGGGAATAATCAAATCAAAGGCAATGAAGAAGAGCCCTTTTGCAAGGTGGAGGTTGTGAAGTTCTGATTTCTGGCTTTGGTGGTGGTGTTGATTCCATTCCAAGTGTTTTTAGTAGGAAGTTCCTTTCCTGAAAAAAAAAAAAAAATGTATAAACATAAATTTGTACTTCAAAGTCATAAAAAATGCTAAGGTAGTGTTCTGTATGGAGTAATCAAAGAGAGAATGGAATGGAAGATTCCATTCCATTCCATCTTAGCAAGAGAGCTTACACTTTCTGAAAACTGTGGGCTTGGAATTCCTGCTGCCATTGATCTAAACAATGGAGTTACTTGAAGTGGGGAGTTGAATTGTGAATTTGGCAAGGGACATATGCCTCCAACATCATTCTCACATTCATCACAAGAAGCTAAGATATCTGTGTAAACATAGGTTTCTTGTTAGGGGTAAAAAAGGTAACTTACACCAAATCTTCACCCCGTATAGCAAAATTTACCTAGGTTTGTTGTTGAATCAGGTGTTATTATATTTTTACCACAAATTTTCTCAATCACTTGGGAGAGAGCAGTTGACCCTGTACTGTACTCTGAGCTTTCTGGGGATCCCTGATATAAATCTGGTTGTCTGCACAGCGCAAATGAAAATGATAAAATATTAAATATTATGTCATCATGTCAGGTGAATTTCCAATTATGCCCTCATGAGTCGTGCCTACTACCTCCATGATTGTTGGCTGCCTTCATCACAACTTCTTATGTCCATATCAGACATGTTATTGTTAACTCCAAGCACATCACTTTCTTTGGTTTTCTTTAAAAAATCTTCAACAGCCTGAAAACAAATAGTATTTGATTAAATGTAAGATTTTCACAGATGTTTTTCAACAAGAAACAAGAACAAGATAGTTACAATAAAGTTATTAACCTTGCAAGCATTTTCATAACTTTCCTCTGTTTTCTCCAGAGTAACTTTGAGTGCAAGTGAACTGAGAAGTTCTGCTTGTTGTAGCAATGCAATAATCTTCGGGTCATCTTTCTTCAGAAATGTTCCTTCAAGAATCATATCATTAGTTTCTTTTTAACAATTTGAAACACTTTTTATTAATTTCATTATCCAATCAAAGCATTTGAATTTCAACAGCTTGAGTTTTCATTAGCTAAGAAATTGTTTTTTTTTTTTTTTTCTTCATTAGGTGTTGTATGGTTAAAGTGCTGAATGGATAAACCAATATTTTTTTTTTCTGGACCGAATGAACAGTTTGAGCGTGAAAAAATGACCATTTTAACCTTGGGTTTTAAAGTGATACTGGTTAATAAATGATTGATGATAAAATGCAACAAAACCCGATTGTTCTTGGGGAAGAAAAGAAGACAAGTAGGTTTAAATAGGTTTCAAAAAAGAGTTTGGTTCAATGGATAAAGAATGAGGTTTAATGGATAAAGATATCCTCAATTCAGTCAACCCAATTAAGCTCATAGTTTATAGTAAGTCAAAAAGAAACACCACTATATATCTGTCCAGATTAAGTCATGTCCCCATTCTGTTAAAAACAAACAAACAGCACATAAGAATCCTTTTGTGCATTTTGTTTCGGATTTAACTTTCCACCCACCATACAATCAACAACTTCAAGATTCCATTTTAATGGTGTATTACCATCTTTTGAGGCCTCTTCGCTTTTGGGATGAAGCTGTGTTGTCAAGGTGTTGATGTTATGGCTCTCTTCTGTTGTATCAGGAATATGTTTCCTCCTAAATCAATACATATACATACATTGATTTCAGAATTAGAATTTGATTTTAATACTCTATATCAAAAATCCAAATCCAAAAATACCTCATTTTCGAAAGAGGCATTGAAGGTTCTAGAACTCTGTCGTCATTTTGTCCATTCTGAAATCTGGTCCTTTTGTTGTTTGGTGTGATGTAACAAGTCTTGTTCTCTTTTGCCATTGCTTCATTCTTTGCTCTCTTCTTACACAATGTGGAGAACCGATTCTTGACAGCATTATCCGTTCTTTTTTTTTAATAAAATAAAAAAATTATAGTCTTTAGTTTTTTTTTTCAATAAAAAGTTAGCAATCAAAAATCAATATAGAAGAGAAGAACATCATTTACCTGCCTGAAACCACTTTTGCTATTTCAGTCCATCTGTTACCAAAAATCTTTTGAGCCTCACATAAAAGCATGTCTTCCTCTTGTGACCATCCTCCTTTCTTGAAATCAGAATTCAAATAAGTGAACCATCTGTGTTTTATAACATTTATCCAAATCAAGAGTTAATAAAAGTAAACGGAATTTTTGGATCTTAAAAGATATAAGATTTTAAGTAAAGATACATGTTATGTTTTCCTTATGGTTACCTTCTTCTACATTGCCTTGTAGTTTTATCCTTAAACTTGGATGCAACAATAGCCCAACTGAAAATTACAGTATTGACACCCATCAATCTTATGAATCCGATAAGAAATAGCTTTTCAGATATATGAGAATTGAAGAAAGGAAATCATACTTGTCGATTCCATGGATACCGATTTGTTCCCTTAATATATCATCTTCCTGAAGAAATACAAACAACGGAGATGTTGAACAAGATGATGATTATGAGAGAAAGAAAAGTTGTTATTTGAGTGATCATATTCATAATGAACCTCTTGAGACCAGGAAACTATATGCCTCTCTTTCTGCTTCTGAGCTTCACCATCACCACTACTGTTGTTGTTATTAGAGCTACTAGTGGAATCACAGGCTTTCTTCTTCATATTCTGCATCCTTCACCAACAAAACCGCTCTCTCCTTTATCCCAAAAACCTAGCTCTCGCATGCTATGGTAAAGGAACTCTTTTTGCGTTTATATGTGGGTGGATTTTGTTATTTGTGTTTATATAAAGAAGTAAATAAAAGATAAGCAAAAGGAACCCCAAATTTCCCTCTTTTTAGGGAGAAAACTTTACAGGCTACTGTTTACTTCAAACGGAACACCACATGTACACACACACATGGAGCAAAACGTCATACGTCGCATTTGCCTTGGATTCCAACCTTTTGTATTGAATCAAAAATAAAAAATCAGCCGCCTTTGATGCCCTAAAACCATACAAACAGAATCCAAATAAATGAGAAAGAGAAAGTTGAAACTGAAAGCAGATTTTGATTAAACTTCACAACTATAAGAAGCGAAATCAAACACGGATTGGATTATGGATTAAGGATTATATTGGAATCATATATACTACTACCTTTTGGTATCGTATATATCGCGAGAATCGAGAAAGAGTAGTCTCCGTAGATCTGAGGGGGTTTGCGGTTGATCTGGAAGTATAATACACGTTAATACGATCGAATGAGGGCGGCGAAACTGTGGATATTGAAATTTATTTTGGAAGAAATGGAGAATATACCTGTAAATCGGTGTTTCGCTCTCTAAGAAAAGGTGTGGGTGGTGGGGCTTGAGAGCGCGGGCATAAGGAGGAGTTTGAAAAAACTGACGCTGAAATCCACGAAGGAGAGAGAAAATGTAATGTAATCTAATCAATTGAAATTCAGTAAAATCACCATTATTAATGGTGTGGTTATTGATTTTTACGCTCCGGGGTGATGATGATGACGATGATGATGGACCTGCGGTGGTGGTAGGGGTAGGGGTTTTGGTTTCGCTGTCACTTTCCCTTTCTCTTCCATGTGATCTCTGTAAATGTTAATTTTTTTAAGTATATACCTCTTTTTTTTTTTTTTTTTTTTTCAAATATGTTAGTAACTTCCACGCAATGTATGAATAATCAATTGGATTTTTTAATATGTATTTTAAAATTAATATAAAAGTATTAATTAATTATAATTATTATTATAATTAAATAGTAAATACATTAGTTATAAGAAATATTATCATAATTAAATATAAAATTCATTAATAATCTCTATAATTAATGCATTTCACATTTAATTTTATCATAATTGTTATATATGGGTGAGATCGTTTTAGAATTTATAATTTTTCGAAAATTTAAAAACTAAAAGTGGAGTATTAAATCAAAATTAACTTAATAAAGATATTATTGTTATCTTACCAATCTCATTTAATGTTTAATTTTTTTGTTATTAGAAATATTAATAAAATTTCTAAAAATTAACATAATAAATTAAGATTGATTTTTTTTAATAATTTTTTATTTTTTTAAACAAAATGGATCTTTTTTAATTTTTTCAGAAAACATGAATTTAAAAAAAAAAAAAAATGAAAAAATTATTTAAAAAAAAACACCATTTAAAAAAATAGCATTTAAAAAAAACTTGCATTTTTTCCTAAAAAAACTTGCATTTTTTCCTAAAAAAACTATAATTTATTCAAAAAAAAAAAAACTACATTCTCTTAAAAGAACTGCATTTTTTTAAAGTAAATATTTAAAAATCAGTGAATTAAAAAAAAAAAAAAAAAACTAGAATATTTAAAAAAAACTCTAAATTTTTTAACAAAAAAAAATCAACGTTTTAGGTGCATATATGCAATTTTTTCAAATATATATGTATATTTCTTTTATCATAATAGTGGTAAGTGAATCATAAAAAGTCTCGTTTTTATTAATCGATCTATAAACATAATAATACAAAAAATTTATTCGATACAAAGTAAAATATAAAAAAAAAATAAAAAATATTACAAAGATTCAAAGTATTGTCATTTCTTCATATCAAAATTTCCATATTTTCTTCAATTTATCACTTTTCACCTCTTCAATATTTTCTATAAATTCTTCAAAATCTACAATAAAATTAAAAAAACTCATTAATGCAAGAACACTCACAAAAATTGATATATATATATATATATATATATATATATATATATATATATATATACTTATATATATCATGTAAGATTCACATATGATTATATTATATAAGATTCACATGTGATTGTATCTTTTAAGATTCAAATGTGAAATTCACAAGAAATTTTTAAAAAATAATTAATGAAGAACACTCACACAAAATGCATGTGTGCATATAGACGTAATTCATATGTGATTAACTAGTGATTTACATGTAATTCATATGTTATTCACTTGTGATTTATATGTGAATCATATGTAATTCACTTGAGATTTACATGTAATTAATATGAGAATTACATATAATTTACATGTAAATCACATATAATTCATATATGATTCAATTGTGAATCACATGTAATTCATATGTAATTCACTTGTGATATACATGTGAATCACAAGTGAATCATATATAAATTACATGTGAATTACATGTAATTCATATGTAAATTAAATGTTATTAACATGTAAATCACATGTGATTCACTAGTGCTTTACATGTAAATCATATGTAATTCATATGTGATTCACTTGTGATTTACATGTGAATCATATGTGAGTTACATGTGATTTACATGTGAATCACATGTAATTCATATGTGAATTACATGTTATTCATATGTGCTTCACTTGTGATTTACATGTGAATTACATTGTCACACCCCAAAACCAAGAAAGGCGGAAACGTTCCGGGGTGGAGGACGTCATGTACAGTATCACAACAGTGTAAAGTAGTAAATAAGCAACAACATCATCCATTGCATTATAAGTAAAGTTTTAATACATGTGTGTTCTTTCATTGTAATAAGACACCAAAAATATACAATCAAAATAAAAGACGAGACTTGACTGTGCTCCGTCTTCTCAAAACCTGGCCATCGTGCCTATCTACTGGTGACTTGAGAATACAAGTTATTTTGAAAGAGAGTATCAACTTTAAAGCTGGTGAATTCATAAGTATTTAAGTGTCATTGTCTTGCTTTGAAAAACTTTTATGAATGTCATGTAAAACCTTTAAATAAGACAGTTGATATAAGTATGAAAAACCCTAAGAAATCCCTTATTTCCTACTAGTATGAAATGTAGTCTTTTACCAAGACCCGAATGTTTTGTTATGACAATGTAGTCTTCTACCAAAACCTGAATGTTTTGTTATGACAATGTAGTCTTCTACCAAGACTCGAATGTTTTGTTATGACAATGTAGTCTTCTACCAAGACCCGAATGTTTTGTTATGATAATGTAGTCTTCTACCAAGACCCGAATGTTTTGTTATGATAATGTAGTCTTCTACCAAGAACCGAATGTTTTGTAAGTAAAATGATAGTTTTTCCTTCTTCGTGACTACTACAAACAGTAATTGGTCTAACTCATCGTTTATGTGAATATATCACAAAATAAAGTGAATAGGAAAAATATAACCATGTAAGTGTTATCCCTGGATACCAGGATTAACACGCCATCGCAGTAAGCGATATGTATAACCTAATGAACATCCGAAGATTGTCCAATTGTCCTCTATAGCAGCAGCAAGTTGGAGGAAGGGTTAGTCCCGTAGCCGACTCCTAATATAAGTGGTAACCTAATGATCATCCGAAGATTTTCATCTCATCCTCTGTTGCAACAGCAGGATGGAGGAATGGTTAGTTCCGATATCAATCTATCTATTATAAGTGATAACCTTAGACATTCGTGGATGTTCATCACCCAGTGGTGCTAACAGCTAGGTTCCGAAATGGTTAGTCCCGTCTAGACATCCCGTCGAACAGGGATAGGCAGGAAAATTTACACAAAAGGTACGAATAAATCTTCCTCATAACTCTAGGTACAAGTATCCAGGTAAGTGAATACAGGATAATGTATCTATGTAACAGTACTCATGTATGGTATTCATTTAAGCGTATTCAGATAAATGTATCTATGAAAACGTACTTATGTATCATGTAATCCTAGATAAATATACTCATGTATCATGTAATCCTAGATAAATGTACTCATGTATCATGTAATGTACTGGTATAGACTCATGAATGAACTGACTCTTGTGTGATTCCTTGTAATAGGAATATTGTTTTGTATCTTCTAACTATCCCTATGATAATTAACTGAAAGGCAATTGTTTGTTCAAGGAGGTAAACGTAATGGTTTTGCAAGGTATCTAAGAGTTTTGAATAATAATTAAGAGTGACTTAATGTCATGTTAATAAACATTTCAAAACTAATACTTTTTTTATCAAGGTATTTTAAGATGGAAAACCATTTCATGCATCACATTTTGTAGTATGTGAAATCTGCTGGATGAAAACATAGTTATAAAATACATATAAGTGATTTAATAACATGTTGTTTTCTACTTGTATTCCCCCCATTAAAGCATTTAAAAACATTTAAAATATTCATTTAGGGGTATGAACTCACATGTAGATGGTGGTTTGGATGAACTGGATGGTGTAGGATTGTTAGGTGTCAAGTGAGGACTTGTACACACACTACGATCCTAATGAACATATAATCACACATATATGCACTCAATTAGTCTTAAATTACTAATTGATAATGTTAAGACATCCTAGAACATAATAAACACTTTATATAAGTGTTATAAGCCCTAAGGATTGCATCTAAGCTATTGTGGGACAAGGCACTTGGGTTTAGGGTTCCAAAGGACCCTATACTTGAGTTTACTCTCCAAATAACCTCACACATGGAGTTTACTCTCCATATAACCTCACACATGGAGTTTACGGTTGTAAACTCTTGAGTTTATGGCTGTAAACTCCAAGAATTAATGTTCTTGGTTGTTTTGAGGTGTTAAATGATCCCTAGAAGTATTTGTTGGATAAGGTGTCTAAGTCCATAACTTATTTGGTATATACTTGACCCGACCGGTATGGTCCATTTGGGTTGCATCTCATCCAAACTATTATGGATAATTTTATGAG